GTCTGTTTTTGTACCAGTACCATGCTGTTTTGATTACTATTGCTTTGTAGTATGTTTTGAAGTCAGGGATTGTGATGCCTCCTGCTTTGTTCTTTTTTTAAGACATCTTAATTCATGACATGTGGGCAGTCCCTAAATATACCATTTTCCAAATAGTTGTCTTAGCAGATTTTAAAACTCTAACAAAAAAGGTTATGATGTTATAAAATGACATTTATAAAAAAACATGTAGTGGCTAGTTTAAAAGTTACCTGCCTTAAAATAAGTAATCAGTAAATATTTGCTAAATAAATAAAAAAACTTTTATTAATGTCATAGAGATTCTTAAAATAGATTAAAAAATAATTGGAAACTCTCAACAAGTGACTATAGAGAGATCGTACCTCAATATAATAAAGGCATCTATGACAAGCTCACAGCTAACATCATACTCAACACTGAAGTGCTGAAAGCTATTCCTCTAAGATCGGGAACAAGACAAGGATGCTCACTCTTTCCACTTTTCTTCAACATAGTATTGGAAGTGGTAGCCAGAGCAATTAGGCAAGAGAACGAAAGAAAGGGCATCCAAATTGGAAAAGAAGAAGTAAAACTGTCTCTACTTGCAGACGACATGATATTATACCTTAAAGACTCAACCCAAAAACTTAGAACTAATAAATGAGTTCAGTAAAGTTGCAGGAAACAAAATCAATATACAAAAATCTTTTGTGGTTCTATACACTAACAACAAACTGTCAGAAAAATTAAGAAAACAATCCCATTTACAATTGCATCAGAAAGAATAAAATATCTTGGAATAAATTTAACCAAGGAGGTGAAAGACTTGTATACTGAAAATTTATGAAAGAAATATAAGAAGACACAGATAAATAGAAAGATATTCTATGCTCATGGATTGGAAGAATTAATATCATTCAAATGTCCATACTACCCAAAGCAATATACAGATTAAATGTATTCCCTATCAAAATTCCAATGGTATGTTTCACAGAAATAGAACAATCCTAAAATTTGTATGGAACCAAAAAAGGTTCCAAACAGCTAAAGCAACCTTGAGAAAGAATAAAATTGGAGACATCATGCTCCCTGATTTCAAACTACATTACAAAGCTATATAATCAAAACAATATGGTATTGGCATGAAAACAGATACATAGATCAATGGAACAGAATAGAGAGCCCAGAAATAAACCCATGCTTATATGGTCAATTAATTTAAAACAAAGGAGCCAAGAATATACAATGGAGAAAGCAGTGTCTCTTCAATAAATAGTGTTGGGAAAACTGGACAGCCACACACAAAAGAATGCAACTGTCTTACACCATACACAAAAATCAACTCAAAATGGATTAAAGACTTGAATGTAAGACCTGAAACCATAAAACTCTTTGCAGAAAACATAGGCACTAAGCTCCTTGACACTGGTCTTGGTGATAAATTTCTGGATTTGACACCAAAAGCAAAGGCAACAAAAGCAAAAATAAACAAGTGGGACTATATCAAACTAAAAAGCTTCTGCACAGCAAAGGACACCATCAACAAAATGAAAAAGCAACCCACAGAATCAGAGAAAATATTTGCAAATCATCTATCTGGTAAATGGTTAATATCTAAAAAATACAAAGAACTCATACAACTCAATAGCAAAAAACCAAACAATCCAATTAAAAAATGGGAAGATCTGAAAAGACATTTTTCCAAAGAAGAAATACAGATGGCCAAGAGGTACGTGAAAAGATGCTCAACATCACTAATTATCAGGGAAATGCAAATCAAAACCACAGTGAGACGTCACTTCACACCTGTTAGAATGGCTATTATCAAAAAGACAAGAAATAACAAGTGTTGGCAAGGATGTGGAGAAAACGAACCCTTGTGCACCATTGGTGGGAATGTAAATTGGTGCAGCCACTATGGAAAACACTATGGAGGTTCTTCAAAAAATTAAAAATAGAACTATCATATGACCCAGCAATTCCACCTCTGGGTATTCATTTGAAGGAAATGAAAACACTAACTCGATAACATATCTACACCCCTATGTTCATTGCAACATTATTTACAATAGCCAACACATGGAAGCAACCTAAGTGTCCATCGATGGATGAATGGATAAAGAAAATGTGGTATATACGTACAATGGAATATTATTCAGCTGCAAGAAAGAAGGAAATTTTGCCATTTGCAATAACATGGCTGGATCTTGAGGGCATTATGCTAAGTGAAATAAGTCAGATAGAGAAAGACAAATATTGTATGATCTCACTTATATGTGGAATCTAACAATAAACAAATAAAAAAACTGAACTCAGATACAGAGAACAGATTGGTGATTGCTCGAGATGGGGGGTGGAGGGTGGGCGAAATGGAAGGTGGTGAAAAAGTACAAACTTCCAGTTATAAGATAAATAAGTCTTGGGAATGTAATGTACGGCATAGTGACTATGGTTAATAATACTGTATTGTATATTTGAAAATTGCTAAGAGAGTAGATCTTAAAAGTTCTCATCACAAGAAGAAAAACTATAACTATGTGTGGTGATGGATGTTAACTAGATTTATTCTGGTGATCATTTAGCAATATATACAAATATCAAATCATTATGTTGTACACCTAAAACTAATATAATGTTATTTGTCAATTATATCAATAAAAGAAGAAAAAGAAATTGGAATCTAATATGCAATAAAAGGAGATTAACACAAAAATAGATGTGATTTACTATTTAATGAATATTTTGGGAACAGTTCTGTTTCAGTTTAGATAAAAATTAACATAGATCCCATATATTGCAACAAATTCCAGATGGGTTAAAGACTTAACAACAGAACAGAATGAAACAGAATAATATACATATTCTGGCTCTTGGTGGGGAAATACTTTCTGAATATTGAAGAAAGAGAAGATACTCTCAGAATGTATTTATGAACGTATAAAAACTTAAAAAAGCTTTTCTGCAATAAAATATTGATATCAAGCAACAGAATGGAGAAAGAATGACAATACAATTAATAATAAGGAAATATTTGCTTTCTAATATATTTAGCAAACACATGCATACATACATATGTATATATGTGTATATATATATACACACATACAGATATAGACCTATATATACATATACACATAACTATATAAATATAAATAGTTTATAAATATGTATAGTATACACACATAAATATAAATATATATATGTGATCTATACTCAGATCTAGACGATACTTTGTCAAGGAAGAAATATTGAAGAAAATACAAACATCCAAACACATGGTGTTGTCATAGGGGAAAACAACATCCCATGGCAATTATATCCATTCAAATATGTACTACATTGAGTAAAAAAAAAATGCAAGAAACTTGCAAGAAAATGCAAGAGCCTAAATTTGGAAGACAGGTGGCAAAAAGGGTACAGACACACATTGCTAATAGGCTTGCAATGTCCTTCCCAGGCTTGGGCTCTAACTCTCAGGATCCTGGGACTCCTACAGAGGGTTCAAATCCTTCCTCAACGCGATACCTGCATGGAGAATGGAGATAAACATTCCAGTCACAGGGGAGCCTCGCCTACCCGGGGAAAAGAGCACACCTTCTGCGCTCTGCTAGGCCTTATGTATTACCACACCGGATGATTCCCCATGTTTTTACTTTCCAGCCCCAACTACCTTTACATTAGGCTCAGCACAGCTCAGGGTGGGTGAGAAACCTCGTGACGAGGCGGCAACGAGCTTCAGTAAGGTTAAACCTTCTGAACTTTGTAAACCGCTTGCAAAAAAATACCCCGCGCTTGCTCAGTCGCCTACTAGGAATCATTCGGAGACAGGTTCTTCATTTCCGCCACGCGTGTCCCGGCTTTTATCTGCTAAGACTATTAGGGGAACATTGGATTTAAAACAGTCCCTAAAGATTTGGAGAGGGCTTAAAAAAAAAAAAGAATGTGAACGATTTGGAATTTATGATTTATCTCGAAAGATGAAAGACACAAGGAGTATGAACACCAGCTCTGGTAGAAAACCCATCTAGAAAATTCAGTCACGGTGGAACTCTGTGCTTTGCCGAGCACGATAACGCAGAGGATGGCAGTGAGTTTTAGCAGCTGGGCACGTCTTGCACGTGGACACATGCTTTGTGCACGGGCACATCTTTTGCACATGGACACACGAACACGTTTTGCACCTGGAAACATGTTTTGCATATAGACACATGTTCTGCACTTGGACACGTGGACATGTTTTGCACGTGGGCACGTTTTACACATGGACACATATTTTGCACATGGACACGTTTTGCTCAGCACAGCACTGCGGCAGCGACAGCGGAGTTGGACACAGGTGACCGCGGAGCGGCGCTGGCCCGGAGTCCCGGGAGCGGCGCCACACCGCCCGGGAACTACAACTCCCGGCACGGGCGGCCACCTCGGGCCGGACGCGCGGCCCCAGCGCGCCGGTTGGCCCCGCCCCGCCGGCCTGGCGCGGTCGCCGGCCCAGGTCCCCGGCGCCGAGAGCCGCCGGGTCGCCGAGCTGGGGCGCACGGCCAGCGAGCGGCATGGAGCCCAGGGCTGCGGACGGCTTCTTCCTGGGCGACGTGGGTACGCGCGGGGCGCAGCGGAGGGTCCGGGCGCGGGGCTCGGGTACCGGGAATGCGGGGCGGGGGTGCTGTTGAAAGAGCGAGGACCGCCAGAGCTGGCTCTTGGGGACTGAAGAGGTGCATCTGATGACATTCGCTCCGAGATCGGTGACCCGCTGAGTGTGTCGTCAGGGGCGTTTTGGCGGGTCCAGGTTGGAGGGTCATGTCCTTAAAGGAGCAGGGTCCAGTGATCCCTGGCATCTCAGGCGAGGTTTCTGTGTCCCACTCCGTGTCCTCGGCTAGCGCTTTGCAGGGCTGGTCATTGTGACGCGATAGTTGTGGGACTTCACAACTGCAGAGCCACCAGAGCGCCGAGCACCTTGGGGGAATATCGGGGTGTGTGTGTGCGCGTAGTCATTGCCAAGTTCGGAGGAGAACCTAGGAAATGCCCATGCGGGACCATTCAGAGGGGAGCCTTGGCACGAGCCCAGTGTGGGAGCTGAAACCTCTTCCAGGCGCCCAGTGTCTTGAGCATCCTACAGATTCACCCAGCTGTGATAGAAGGAGTCTGCTCCAGGAGGTGGATGTGCCTCTGTGGCATCATGTCACACTGTAAAAAATGCGACCTCGGTTCTTCGCTGAATCTTCTTTATCATTTGAGCTACCCAAGAATAAAATAGATTTGAGGGCAAAGGGTCGTTCTTTGGGGAAGCAAACTCTCCTGCCTATGAAGTTATACTATGGCAAATGAAATGAGCAGTGAAAGCACTTTGAAAGCCTGGAAAGAAACAAAAATCTAAAGTATTTTTACACTGGTAAAAACAGTAGTGCAAATAAAAATGAAAAGTCTTAAGATTAAATTTAGCTTAAGAGGAATTGCAGTCAGAGCAAGGCAAAGGTATTTTAATTGATTTTGCAAAACACTCACCTTCAGCATGATCAAAGGTGTTTAATAAGCATCTGTTTTTACTTGGCATTCTGCCCCAAGCAGGCACAAGACTTTGACCCTGCCAGTGTGATCTGTATTCAATTGGTTCAACTAAATAAGCAATGAACAGCTAACCACGGAACCTATTTAAGCACATATTTTAATTTTTTTGTTTCTGTAGAGCATTCAATAGCACAGCATCAGTTCTGACCATGTTTTTTTTTTTTTTTTTGCATAGTTCGAGGAATGTATCTTTAGAAGAAAAGCACATTCTAAACTAATGGATGCACAGCTGCTAGGGTTCGTGGATATTTTTGACTTTGTCATTGTCTCATTTAATATATTTCTCCAAAAATATGTCCTGCTGACATTTTTATTCTCAACCCTAATGAATAAGCTGTATGTGTTGAATCCAGAACAACCGTGTTCTCCCAGCAGAAGTAGAGGTCCATCGTAGGAACATTAACCCATTTTAGCATTCTGATCTGAAATTATATATGTGTGGTGTACTCCAACCAAAGCATGTAGGTTTTCCATTTTTTAATATAAACCTCACAGAGGTAAAGACTGCAGAATCTTACAATACGGCCTTCTCAATAAGTACAAAGAATTTGGGGCAAGTCACATCCTAAAGTGAATCCAGTGTTTATAACTTAGCAAATGTAATACGGATCGTTATGGACCCAAGGTAAGTGTCTATTTGCAAAGCTGAAAAAATGATCCCCTTATTCAGCATCTGTACTCAAGAGCTTCTGACTTGGAAGTGAGAGGCTGGCAGAAGATGAAAGGGTGCCTTAGGGAATTGGGGCTCTAAGCAAGGTGAGCTGCTGATGTTCTTCAGTTTTCCTTAGCCAAGAACTCGAAACACAGTTCATTGCCGTCCGGGGTGTTCAGAAGGGGAGATGGGGAGAGGAAGGAGAGGCAGCTCCTGGGACTGTGATCAGAGACACTGAGCTGCTAGGTATGTGCCAGACATTAGCCATAGGGACAGCTGCAAGACAGTCGTCATTACTGATAATTTAGCTGTGAAACTGAGTTCACACGGCTAGAAAGTGGCAAAGCTGAGGTTTAAACTCAGGTGGGGTTTTTGTTTTGTTTGTTGGTTGTTGCTTGTTTTAAGCTAAAAGGCTTACAGCCTTCCCATCACATAGGCTTGTCTCTAATTTTGTCAATTTAAACAGCAAATTTGCCTGTTATTTTGTCTCAAAATGAGTTTATCCTATTCATGAATAGCCAAAAGAATTACAATTTGGGACAAGCCTGCTATGACAAACCACAGGCAAATCTAGAAAACAAAGCAGGGGAGCTGCTTTCATAGAGAAGAAGGGGAATAGGGAGGTGCTGCTCTAAAGGAAAGTCCATTGGGAGAAAGTAACAGTTCAGGGTGGCAACTGCTTCTCATTGGCTGAGCTGAGGCGTTTCTCATTGGCTGAACTGCAGCAGTTCTCATTGGCTGGCCTGTGGTGTTTCTCATTGGCTGAGCTGTAGCATTTCTCACTGGCTGAAATGCAGCATTTCTCATTGGCTGGCCTGTGGTGTTTCTCATTGGCTGAAATGCAGCATTTCTCATTGGCTGGGCTGTGGTGTTTCTTGTTGGCTGAGCTGCGGTGTTTCTCATTGGCTGAGCTGCGGTGTTTCTCGTTGGCTGAGCTGCAGTGTTTCTCATTGGCTGGGCTGTTGCCTCCTGGGGAGAGAAATCTTCCTTCAGTAGTAAAGTAGTTTTACTTCCTGTCCCAGATGCAAGCCTCCCTCTCTTCCTGTTTGGTGTAATTGACAATGTGTGATAGGGCTTGAGAGCTCCCCCTACAGGCCTTCTCGACTTTAATTTAAGGTTTCTTTTATTGATTTCCACAATTTATAGGGTTATGGGAGTGTTGGATTGGTATTGTGGCTGGGATGGATGAGCCATGTCTGCTGTGCGTTTCTCAGGGGATATGGGAGCACTTTTACCACCGATTGGCCATCTCTGCATTAAACCACATCGCCTTTCTCGCTGTGAGAAATGCACAAGCAGGAGCATAGGGTGATCTGCATCCTCGTGCCGGGAACCTATATGCCTGCTCACTCTTCTGTTGTCTGCAGACTTTGATTTTTAAAAAATATAAGTGTATTGAAAGTACTTTGAGAGATCTAGATAATCAGTGCCCTGGCTGGGAAGTCAATTTCCTTAAAACCTTCTCAAATCGTGTTTCTGTCTCTGCCCTGGAGAAAGCTGCGTTCTAGAGTTCTCTAGAAACGTTCTTTAGTGGAGAAACCTCTGGGCACTGTATTATACTGCTAACAAAAATGTCTGAAGGAAATCCATTTAGGATGATTTTAGCACCAATTGGGATTCAGAGGCAGTCCTGGTGGCCAGTAGTGGCTGCTGTCTATAGCAGTACAAATGAGTTTTAATTTTTTGGCTCAACTTTGCTGCCTTGGAGAATGGGGAGAGGTTGGGAGTTTCTTTATCTGGGGGTTGGGGAACAGTAGATTTCTCATGGTGGGAAATATGATGTGGTATAATGCAGAGATGGCCAGTCAATGGTAAAAGCGCTCCCATGTAACACCTTTTGAAAGCAGGTGTCTTGAGCTGGACCACAAAGGTCCTTCAGGAAGAAAGGAGAAAGGACCGCTGCTCTGGGAAGCTGGCTCTGGGACACAGTGGAAGGTAAAGACAGTGCTTTCCTATGACAGAGAAACAGCCAAACAGTGATTTGCAATCTTCACTGCACACTGCAGTGACCTGAGGGTCTCTAAAAAATACTGTTCCCTGGGTCCCATCCCCAGAGATTCTGATTTAATCGTTCTGAAGTACAGCCTGCTTGCCGCACGTTTTAAAAGCGCCCCAACTTGTATTGATGAAGTGGAAACAGAGATAAGTGCTAATGTCAACCAAGAATTTAATTAGTGTGATTTGATAGAATCAGAGGAAATGTTTTCCGTCTCCTATTTCTACCTTCCTAAAGATTTAAATAGTACCAAATTGCAGTCTGAAGCTGTGTATCGAAGCAAACAAATTAGCAAGACCAAGTTGAAAAGTAGGTCTCTTGGAGATGCACAAGTCACTAGCAGCTATTTTAAGGAGCAGAATTTATAGAAGTGATAAGAGAATTTAAATTCTCTGGATCTCCCTTCATGGACAGTCTAGGTGAGGATAGAGATTAGATTACTAACAGGCAAAAGCTGAGAACACACTTCTAAGTCTGTGCTCTGAGATCTGCCTTGCTCCTGGGCGTTTGACTAAACCTGCCATTTAAAATCGTCTCTTCCACCTGCTGGAGCTCACAGATGTTCAGAAAGTAGACTAGAGCGAGCTCACCTGTTCCATCACAATTGCAACTGAATCGGTATATTTTTAACACAAGCATGCATCCTGCTGTAAGATAAAGCGGAATTCTGCATGGGTTGGGTAGTTTGCGACCTCATTCAAATGGTCTTGTTATTAGGCGTTTCCCTCTGTGTAGGGTGAGTTTCATTGCGTGGTTCCAGAGGACAGAGTTATAGGGGGGCCCTAAAGCTTATGTTACATTCTATATATGGAAACCTCTGCGATTCCAGAAATGATGGCCTGCCAGGGGTGGGGGGTCAGGGGTGAGCGCTATCCACGAGTGCAGCAATGTGTAGGTTCACTCAGAACCCATGGGAAAGACGACAGGAAGAAATTGTTCAAAGACGCAAACCTAAAGTTACCTCTGTTTCTTGTATGCATGGAAAAAAAAAAAAGAAACCCAAAACAGTGAAATCCACTAGGTGTTTGTTAACCGTCAAGCTTGGAGACTTTGACTTTGATGGGTTGGAAAGGCAAAGCCAGAAAAAAAAATGCAATTTGGGCCTGTATATTTAACATGTTTATTGGGAACCTAGCCAAGAATCCCAGTGATGCTGAATGGCCCTAAATGGTTTTTGGTTTTGCATTGAGACAAGAAATGCATTTCATGTCGAGATGGGTCAGTTCTTAAATATGGGGCGCACACACAAACACACATGCACGAGCCTGGCATGGTGGGAAAGGGACCAGTTTGAGACCCAGGGATTCCAAAACCAGGGATTCCTATGCTGTGTGATCTTAGGCAAGGCTTTTGCTCTGTTTCACTTTCCTAAAATGAGTTAAA